TCCCTTCCAACCCAAACCATGCTATGAGCCTGTGACCTGAGACCCTGCTGCTGCCCTGGGGCTCTTCACTGCCAGCTAACCTGCCCTGAGCTAGCCGTGGGGCAAGAACACCTCACCTGTAGCCGTAACACGAGATAGTCCCACTCCTGCCTGGGGAAAATCACATCCTGGCTTAGTGGGTTATCATGTAACCACACCGGAATAGCTGGGTCAAACACTGAGACCAGCGACAGTCCTTTCACCTGTCGTTCCCTTGCCAGATCCACCATCCTGCAGGAGAGCAAGTCCCTGCTGAAGAGCCAGACAGTGTCGGACCAGGCGGTGGCCGAAGCCCTGTGTGCCATCATGCTCCTGGAGGACAGCTCTCCACGCCAGGCCCTCGCTGACTTCCTTCTGGCCAGGAAGCTGGCCATTCAGCAGCTTCTCAACCAGCCGCACCACGGTCAGTAGGACTGGGCTGCCTTCTTTTTAAAGTTTTTTTAAATGCCACAAAAATTAACAGTACTCAAGGTCTTAAGCCGAGCCCATCCATGAAGGGGAAGCAGTGCAGGGGCTGAGTCCTTTGCCCTCCAGCCCTTCCCTGGAAGGTTCACTAGAACCTCAGGCCTTGAATCAGAGGGCTGCTCACACCTCTGTTGGAGGGGTTGCCCCAGCTGAAAGGCGTTTCTCTGCAGGTGCAGGTATAAAAGCTCAGGTGTGTTCACTGATGGAGCTGCTGACCACCACCCTGTACCAGGCTCATGCTCTCTTCTACACCATGCCCGAAGGGATGCCACCGGATCCAGGCCTGCCCTGTGGCTTGCTCTTTTCAACCCTGGAGAGTACCACGGGCCAGCACCCAGCAGGTGAGTGCCCAGGCAGCTCTGTGTTAGGCCTCTGCCTGCCCAGGAGGCCACCCCTGTGCTGGGCTGATTCCCCCCAACCCCATGTGTTTGCAGGGAGAGGTGGGGTGCTGGAGGAGGAAGTGAAGCTGAGCAGCTGGTTTAGGTACCTCCCAGAATCCGTGGTGGAGTTCCGGCCAGCCCTGCGGACCCTGGCACACCCCATCAGCCAGGACTACCTCCGAGACACGCTGCAGAAGTGGATCACCATGTGAGTGTGACGCTGTCCCCCTTCACAGGACTCTTCCAGACACAAAGCAGCAGCACAAAGCAAACCTAAGCTCTCCTATTTCCTTACTTGCTCCAGCCAGGCTGTGCCTTCTGCTGGCTTCTTGCCCAGCACCTCCTCTCCCCAGCAGTAAAACAGCCAGAAGCAGCATTGCACCATCCTAACAGCCAGCCTCTAACAATCCAACATAACAGACCCCCTGGGCTGCACAAAGATATTTGTCTAGAGCTGCTTTACACTGCCGTAACCACCAGCAAACAAGCACGGAGTAAATAAGAAGAATATCCCTTACCTGGCTCATGTTGCTCCTGGTCCAGCTCTTCTTTCCTCCTCACTGCCCTTCCCAGGACTGTGTGGGGGCAGCCAGCCCCCCTTTATGGAGTTCCCAGCTCCACCCCTTCCCACCTTGCCTTGCCCTGTGGGTGGGGACAGCCCGGCAGCCCCACTTGCCCTTTAACAGCCTTGTTGGTCACCTGTGTCCTCATCCCCTGGAGCTGCTGCTGGGCTGGCCACCTGGTCCCTGCCAGGAGCCACAGCCCCCCATGGGGGGCTCACTGGCCTTCCCAGAGCCCCCCACTGCCCTCCCTGCCTGCTGGCACTCCTGGGGTGTCCTGTGGCTTTGTCACCCGCCGCAGCCTTGGGTTCCTGCCCGTGGGCATGTGGCTTTCCTGTGGGACTACAGGAAAGAGGCAGACGTCCCCTCAGCCCCGCAGATGATTCTGCAGGCAGAGCCTCTTACCGAGAGGTTAAGCATCCCCCCTGCCGCCTCGATGTTGCCGATGTTCTCTCCTGCTTTCCCTGGGGCTGTGTCTCAGCAAGTCAGACTGAACCGAAACATTGCCTTTAGGTGCAGTGATGACATCAGGGCCGGGGTCAGCAACCTGCTCATCTATGTGAAGAGCATGAAAGGGCTCGCAGGGATTCGCGACGCTGTGTGGGAGCTGCTCACGAGCGAGCCCATAAGCCAGAACTGGGAGGCAGTGTGCCGTCGTCTCTTGGACAAGCCTGCTTCCTTCTGGGAGGACGTGCTGCAGCAGCTCTTCCTGGACAGGCTGGAGGTGGGTGCTCTGCGTGGTGATTCACGGGGAGCCCTGCTCTGTGCCCCCTCTTCTTGTCCCAAACAGTGGTGCCTGTTAGCAGCACTGGGTGGCAGAAGGTGCATCTAATAAAGGTGCTTTTTTTAATTCCTTGTTCTTTTCCAGACACTGACCAAAGAAGGGTTTGACTCCATCTCAAGCAGCTCCAAACAGCTGCTCACCTTAGCCCTGCAGGAACTTGAATCCAACACCTCTGCTCTGAGCAAGCACATCCAGTTTGAACACAACGTGGCCCTGTTCCTGTGGTCAGAGAGCTCCAGCGACCTGCCTTCTGACGCCGCTTGGGTCAACGTGGCAAACCGCGGCCAATTGGCCCTGTCCATGAAGGCGCAGGCGCTCACGCCGTGCGTGCAGAGCTTCTGCTCAGCTCTGGACTCCAAGCTGAAGGCCAGGCTGGACGACCTCCTGTCCTACCTTCCCACAGACTCCTCAGCTGCCAAGGAGCCTGCTCCCGCCGTGCCCCCACACTCTGCCTTCGACCGTTACGCTGACGCCGGCACGGTGGAGGGGCTGCTCCGCGACCGCTGTGTCACCTGCATCCACCACGTGCTGGGCTGTGTGCGGGAGGAGCTGCAGAGTGCCCAGAGCCTGCTGGGGGGGCAGGCGGACGCTCCCCGCGATGCCAGACTCAACGCCGTCCTCTTCATGGCAAGACTCTGCCAGTCCCTGACCGAGCTCTGCCCGCACCTGAAGCAGTGTATCCTGGGCCGGTCGGGCAGCACGGAGACGGCGCAAAAGGAAACGCGCTCTGCCAAGAAGCTGGGGAAGGGGAAAGCCCACGAGGTGACGCCCGTGCAGGCCAAGTGGCAGGAGGTGAAGGCAGAGCTCCTGCAGCAGAGCCTGTTCGCTTACCAGGTCTGGAGCTCAGCTGTCACCAAGGTAAGGAACCACTTCTCTCGTCGCAGCTGCTTCCTGCGTGGGTTTCGCTCGCTCAGCTCCCTGCGGTCAGCGCTGCTGCTCCTTAGCTGGCTGCTGAGAGCTCGCCGTGCTGCTGCCACGCTGCTCAGTTGGTTTGTGGGGAGAGGAGGTGGTGACAGCTCCAGGGTGGCATCCAGGGGGATGGCTGCCAGAGGAGTCACCCGGGGAGGAGCCGGGGAGTGCGGGAGGTCGGTCTCTCCACGGGCAGGAGCACTCTGGTACTCCTGTTAGAGCTGTCTGTGTTGTGCTCTAGGGTCTGGTTCAGTGCTTTACCTGCACGCTGCTGCTCGACACAGCTGGCTCTGTCTTGGCTGCAGCCACCAACTGGGATGAAATTGAAATTCAGGAGGAGACGGAGTCTGGAAACAGTGTAACGTCAAAGATCCGGCTGCCTGTGCAGGTATGGGAAATGTCCTCCCAGTAAACACAGAGAAATGATCTGCTGGAAGGAGAAGAGCAAAAAAAAGCGCTGCTGTGTTAGAGGGTGCTGACCTGCTGTGGAGTTTGCTTGGTGTTATGAGCAGAGGGCAAACGCTCTCCGGTGCTCTTACAGTCACCTCCTGGGGTCAGAGCAAGGAAATTAGATAGCTGCTGCTGTATATTCAAATGAGTAAGATTGGCCCCGATCCTGTAAAACGGACCCAAAGAAGGACTTTTGTCTGGTTCATACACAGAGGCCCCCAGGAGAGAGGTCTCCTGGGCAGGCAGGTCTCAGCAGCAGAGCTCTGTGGTTGCTGAGGAAGTAGGAAGCTCACATCACGAGAACTGTAGTGATGTGCTGCTGATAAGGCTAACATAGCTTACAGCCCACATGACAATAACACTGTTTTCTTCAACAGCCGTCCTGGTACGTCCAGTGCCTCCTCTTCAGCCTGTGCCAAGAGGTGAACCGTGTCGGCGGCCACACTCTTCCGAAAGTCACCTTGCAGGAGTTGCTGAGGGCCTGCATGGCAGAGGTGCTTGCTGCCTATGAAAAGCTCGTGGAAGAGAAGCAGGAGAAGGTACGTGAGCAGGATCAGCCCTCGCTCCAGCTGGCGTGGGGCGGGTCGGTCACTGGGCGCGTGGCGATGCGTACGCTCCTGTCCCTCAGAACAGAAACGTCTGCAAGTGTTGGAAAGGGTGAGCGTGTTCTTCCCCTGCCTCCCCCCAAAAAGGATCAGACCCCAGATTGCATGCTCAGAAGGGTTCGGTTAGGTTGGTTGTTTCTTGGTGCCAGTGTTTTCAAATGCTTCCCCTGCAGCAGTCCGCTGACAGCCTCCCTGTCCTGTTTGCAGAAAGCAGGCGCCTTCCCCATGACCCAGAACAGAGCTCTGCAGTTACTCTACGACCTGCGGTACCTGAGTATCATCTTGACGGCAAAGAGTGAGGAAGCAAAAACCAGCAGGATCAAGCATGACTCCAGGTGTGGTGCCGTTCTGGGGTTCAGATACTGGCAGGAGTTTGTGGGGGCCCTAAAAGCTTTAAACCAGCATCTGTACTGGCTGGCAGGAGATGCTGGCAGGAGCGGTGCCTTTGGGCCTCACGGGAAAGGGCAGTGCAAACTCTGACATCTTCACCGACACTAAGCTTGTCCTCAACATGTAGAAGGAGGGGTGGGATTCTGTGTCTGAGAGCCTGGAGACAAGGGGCTGCCCTCCCTGCTCGTGTACAGGCAACAGCAGATGCTGTAGGTTGTGTAACAGCTGGAAACCCTTCAGGCAGCTGCTGTTCTGCTGCGAAATTCCCGTTTTGCTCAGTCACCTCTTAGGGACGAGTCCCTCACTGTTTCACAGGGACCAGTGAAACCACCCTGTTGACATCGGCAGCATCAGGGTGTAACCCCTGACAGGACTCTGCTCTGCTTGTAGGATCGAGAAGGTGACCGACTTCCTGGAGGGACACATAGATCCCTTTGACTTGGACGTTTTTACTCCACACCTCAACAGCAACCTGAATCGCCTGGTGCAGCGAACCTCCGTATGTTCAAGGAAAAGGGGAGGGATGGATGGGGAAGCAGGGCTGCAGAGCACCTTTGGAAGGGCAGCTGGGGTGGCTTTATAAACTGCTTAATGCCTAGAGATAGCTACTGGCGCTCCCTCGTAATGGGAAGAGCATTTAACGCCTGCTGACGATAATAGGAGCGGGCTGAGCTGGCTGCACAACACGTCATTGTGCATGGAGTTGGCTGAACTTTATCTAACAGGATTCACTGGAGCATGTGCAATGCTAATTGGGTTAAGTAGTGCTGAAACAGGCCTAGAACTCAACTGTGGTAATAACGAGCAGTGCCAATTAAACGCAGGAGTTAGAGGGGGAAGGGAGACGCTTCACGTTCAAACTTAAAACAAGTGGTGTGCCATAGACTCACCAGCAGCGGATTGTGTGCTCAGCTCTGCTGTTGCCCCCAAATACAAACAACTCCTTTGTGCCTTCCAGGTTCTCTTCGGCTTGCTGACCGGCACAGAGAACCAGTACACGAGCAGGAGCGGTGCGCTCAGCTCCCAGGAGCTCCACAACATCTTGCCGTTAGCATCCAGCCAAATCAGGTACTCGGCTCTTCTGCACATTCTCCTGTCTCTTGGGGAAGCAGGTCAAGGACTGCTCCTTCCCTGTGACCAGCCACATTTCTTTCTTCCTTCTCTTAAGGTTTGGTCTTCTGCCACTGAGTATGTCAAGCTCACGGAAGAGCAAGTCTGCCTCCAGGAGCACTGAAGGAGTTCAGGTTGGTAAAACTGAGCTGTATGAACTTTCTGCCAATGCTCCTTCTCCTGCCAACACTAGAGTTTTCAGGAAAGAAGAAAGTAGCCAAACAGTTAATCTTTAACCTGATTTTTATTTTCTGTAAAATGAGAGAACCATTACGGCAACACAGCATGAGATGGTTTGAATTTCCCCTTGACCCTCAAAAGCCCCCTGATGGCCCCTGTATTTCTGGGGCCCGCTGCCCTGCGGTAAAACATAAGCAATAACCACCGTGAAAATGCAGTGAAGACTTACAAAAAGACAGTTCATTTAAAGATGTCTGCAAGAAACAGTGAAGGATACTAGCTAATTATTTGACCTCCTTTCCAGTGGGACGCTGACCTTTAACTCCCGACGAAGCCTGGCTCGGGTATTTAAGCCTGTGTGAGCAGAGTGGCTTGCTTCTCTTGCAAAGGCTCTGTGTTGTCCTGATTCTGAGTTTTAGCGGTGGACAACCGTTATGTTGCTACGTTCCCCCAGTTCAAAACATCTGCTTAGATGGAGTTCTCAGTGCTGGGGATTGGGAGAGCTAAGGAATACCTCACTGCTACAGGAAGCAGTAATTAATAATGTTTCCTTTAGCTATTATTAACCCAATAATCCATCTGTGGTGATGTCTTCTCAACTGGGACAGAAAAGTAAAGGTCTGGGTTTATAAGAGCAGAGTGTGTTACTTAAGAGGCTGATGTTTACTGTGCAACTCTTGTTCTCAATTATTCAGAAGCATTAAGGCCCAGACACAGCACAAGGGTTGTTTAAAAGCCCAAACTTCACAATAAAGGTATTCTTTACTCTGACACCTCAGCTCTCATAGAGTTCGCCTCGCTCTTACCGCTCCCCTCGCCTGCTGTGGTGGCACACGTATGTTCTGCGCTAGCCCCACTTCTCAGAATCCTGGACAGATGCTTGCTCCGTCGTTTGTGCTAGAACAGTTCAGGAGAGGTTAAAGTCCAATTACTCGAGAACAGCTCTCTGCGAGGGCAACAGCAGTCACCCCCTTGCTCTGAGAGCAGCAGCCCCTTCCCTGCCCTTCAGAATTATTTTTTTGAGCATTGAATGATGTCTGTTACCTGTTGCTGCCACCAGCAAGGCGCTGTGCTTCTGACACTCAGCTGCCTCTGTCGCGCTGTCCCTAACCACCAGGAGTGTGACACCGCTTAGGTTTGGCTCAGGGTACCTGGGCAGAGCTGTTCTGCTGTAGCTATACCTCCTTGCAGCTACTCTAGATGATGTATGGAGTAACTCAAGGTCTGCTGTAACAGTTACTGACACTTCTGTTTTTAAAAATAAACAGGTTCCACCTCCTGCGCTCACAAGGGCAGAGGACGAGGCATCGCGCCCTGGCTCTTTGTTCAGGCAGCTCATAACCGAGGAGGAAGACACAGCTGCTCCTTCTCTCTTCAAGCTGGGATGGCTTTCCAGCATGACCAAGTGATGCAATAAAAAATAAAAAGTTTGTCTGTGTATTCATCTTCACTGAGAAAGCTCTCTCCCCAGGGCAAGGGCTGGGGACACCTCTGCTGGCACTATCAGAGGAGAAGTACTTCTCCATCCTGAGCCAGATCACAGTATGCCCCTAGAACCAGGCACAGGTCAGGATTGTCCTTGCCCTGGGGCTGCTGGAACAGAGGGGTAGCTACTCTGTCACCTCCTTAGAAGCTCTTAACCTTAAATGAAGGAAAAAGAAAAAAACCCCACAACCTCCACACTGTAACAAAAACCATTTCACAGCTAGAAGTGGGTATGAGAGCACTGAAGACTCCTCTCCTGCCAAACCCCTCCCCAGGCTGCTCTACACCGTTCTCCACAGGCACCAGGAACCCAGCAGGCACCTGACTTTGGGCTCTCCTGGTTCTAGTGTCACTTTTTTTCTCAGTCCTGCAGAAGTGAAGATGAAGCAAGATAAGGCTCATCACACACCGAGCTAGGGGGAAAGTTCACAGCTAAGGGATTCCAGGGACAGCACCTATTCTTACTGTCTTATTAACTCTAAATGCTCAAAAAAATTATGTTGCCAAATAAATTTTTACTAGTTTATTGAAATTAAAAAAAGACTTATAAAACTGAAGATGAACATTTGAGAGAACTTTACATAAAGCAACAACTTGCTAACAAACAGATTAGGCAGTCGACTGGAATTGGACATTTTGCAATCCTGTAACACAGATGTGGAATCCTCAGTCTCCTCTTGACACGAACTTTATAACCACTCCAAAAACAATCCTATAAAATTGCTTCAAAGCCCCTTTTGCATTGCAATAGTGCAGCAAACCACAAGTAAACAATTTCCTGTTAACCTGTTATTTCAAATATAGACTGAAAAGGCAACAGGCATTTTGTGCAATTCCATTTTAACAAACTTTTAAGTTGAAATATCAAATCTACACAGTGCTGTCCCTTCACAGAAGGCAGGGAGCTGCTGGTTCATCATGTGGGAAGGCGTCCCCGGTTCTGTAAGCTGTGAAAGTGTGCCTCCTTCAGGATCTGGTTGATGTGGAAGTAAGGACCTTGGCTTAGTGCAGACTGCTCGTGGAAGGACTGAGAGGAGACAGGACTGGATCCCGCGATCCTGGGGTTGAAGCTTGTTTCCACGCCGCACGCTCTGTCCGGGCTGTTGATGCTACTGCTGCTACAGCTGCTGCTGCTGCCGCTGTCGCTGCTGGGGGACTGAGACACAGAGAAGGTTAACGGCAAAATCACACAGTTTTCTCTCCTATCTGTAATGAAACACTTAAGGCAAGCAAACAATCTTTACAATGAGTCCCTCCCTTCTAGATTTTCAGGCTCACATTCAGCTTGATGGACTAATATAAATCCACCATGTGCCTTTTTGGCTTTGATAGCTTCCTTTATTGCCAACATGTGGACTGAGACACAGAGAAGGTTAACGGCAAAATCACACAGTTTTCTCTCCTATCTGTAATGAAACACTTAAGGCAAGCAAACAATCTTTACAATGAGTCCCTCCCTTCTAGATTTTCAGGCTCACATTCAGCTTGATGGACTAATATAAATCCACCATGTGCCTTTTTGGCTTTGATAGCTTCCTTTATTGCCAACATGTGCAAAGCGTCAGAGAGCTGAAGGCAGCAGCAAGCCTTCACCTGGAGGTTCGCTGGCCTCCAGGACACTGGATTGCAATCTTTCCCTTTTAGACCCACCAACTCTGCCCCCATGACCCACGTTAGCACTAGTGAAGTTTGCCAAATTCATCCGAGAATTGGAAAATAAAGAACATTTCCACTGAACTGCAGGTGTCAGTAACGGCAGGCAGGGCACGAGGGAAGCTGCTCACTTCTCACCTAGCAGATGTTTTAGGTAAGCACCATGCAAAGCATTTTCCTACAAGTTAATCTTTCTAAAATGAGATCTGAAGCATCCAAAGCAACAGGCTGTTAGAAACAAATCCCATGTGCTGATCCCCATTTTAAGTCTTTGAACACCTTGATGTACATACAGCTACCCTTCTCCCAGTTAAGTACTGGGACGGCAACGTTAACTGGTAGCTTTCCATGATACTTTATTGACACAGCAGTGAAAGAGCAACAGGCACCCAGGACTTCCACATGCAGAAAAGAAAACTCGTAATTTAGCTCGCAGAGGCTTATTTGCCAGCATTTAGGGTGAACGCACTTTGTGGGATGACTGGAAGAGCACTAGCCATCATTTACAGTGTTTCAAAGACATAAAACTGTTTGGTTTACACCATTTTCAGGGCTGCTAATGAAAGATTCCATTAGTTACAGCTGAAATGTTTCATTACTGTGCGATATGCTGTTCAGGACAACACTGCAAATATTTAGGTGCTTAAGAATCCGCGAATGGCTACTTCGCCATCCCATAAGAAGTAAATTCACAAAAGCAGCCAGTGTCAAGTGACAACAGCTTAAAAAACCACACATTTTTGTACGCATTAAAGTAAAACCACAGAAGTCAAAGCGTGGTGGCCACAGCACAGGAAGACAAATTTAAGAAGGCCACAGTAATTTAAGAGTCAGCACCACATCCGAAGGGCTCACTTTGGAGTAAATCTGAAGAACGGTGCAAACCGCACCCGACACGGCTGCCAACGAGCAGTGAGAAAGGCCCAGGACGGCACCATGTGAGTGTTTGAGGTGAACCCCATCTCAGTGCTGATGCGAAACCCCACGGCACTGATTCCACAATCGGCCATGACAACTCAACCATGTACATTTCCCTGTTTTGCAAAGCACCAGAAATGCTTCAGGTCTGCTGTAGTTCAGCAAGCAAGCGAACGGCACCGAGGCTGCGCCCGCACTGGGGTTAGGCTCAGCTAGCAGGGAGAAAACAACACAACACGCGTGAAACCATTCCTGGGGAAGCAGCAGGTGTAACTACATGAGCAACCAGCTCCTCTTCCTAATGCTAGAGAGGGGGAGACACCAGAGGGACAGAGAGGAGCCACAAAACGGTGCTTGCTAAGCATCTCATTCTGCATAGAAGCACAGATATTGAAACGCAATGCCGTCACGCTGAACAAGTCACAGCAGCCTTGGAGAGAAACCCACCGCACAGGACACTCTGTTTCCTTTTAGTCTGTGTTCCTTACTGTTTTTCGTTACAGCCACCTTCTGAAAATCAAGGTAAAAATCGAAATGAGAACCTAGTATGACTTACTGCTAAAGCTTCACATCTTAACAAACAGTTTAGAGCGGTTAGTAATGATTATTTTATGCATGTCTAGTTTTTAAAAACTGAACTAGTGTCCTGGGACGTGCTTCCTACACCTAAGGCTGTTGACAGATCTGGTTTGTCAGACCCTCTTTATTTCCATTTCTCTAATGCAAAAGTTCACTAGCATGTGAAGCCCGTTTATTGCCCAAATCACGTCAGAGACCTACCATTTCCCCAGGCTGTGGTGCACATTCTGTTACGCATTTGGACTACAATTAGACAAAAAAAGAATCCTTAAAGTCATCATGTCAGCAATGACAGGCATCTACACAATGAAACAAAGTTTTAAGCAAAAGGGCAAAGGAAAGTGCCCCAGTGAAAGTTTATGAGTATCAAAAGGACACCTTCCCGCTTTACCTGACTCCTCAGCCCCTCTTAACATCACACTAACTACAGGAGTTTTAAATAATTTCCAAACAAATGTCCAGCTAAATGTATTCATCAACTGATTTGTGATGTAGCTTCTCAGTCAGTCATGGCAGGAACTTAGCTGTTCAGACCCTGCTGCTCTCAAAATCTTTCAGGATGTGTTGAACAGAGGCATAACTGGGGTTTAATTAGAATTTAAGACCAGCCCTTTCCCAACGGTGTCATACTGCGGCATAGCTGCAATGCCAGACAAAAACTTTGATCTGAAAGAAGCAACCGCTGCTGTGCATCAGGAACCTCCGACGATAAAACAGTGGTATTTCGGGACAGGGAATCCTGTCGTCAGTCAGAATAGCAAAGAGGAACCACAAGAAATGAGGTTTTACAGAAAAACGTTATTCAGGAAGGAAAAGAGCTAGTCAGAACACTGCAGCCTCCCTTCCTTCCCAGGGAAAATCAGAGCAAAGGGCTTTTCATCGGTGATTCCCCCGGGTCGCAGAGCACAATGGCAGATTCTCCTCGTTCCTGTGAGTGGCTGCTTGCAGCCAGCCTCTCGGAGGATCCACAACAGCTCTGCCTAGCGTACGGGCCAGCAACGACAGGAGAGTGGGACGGGCTCTTGCTGAATTTATAGGTGAGTACCAGGGAAAACAATGCAGCTAACCTCTCTGTCAGTGCAGGACAGGCTGAGTGGGACGTGAAATGAGCAGCGACTGCTCTGCTCGGCTGATGTTTCACGTTTGCTGTAGCTCTGGTACAGCTTTTTGTCCTGTGCCTGCCCATGGGCTGAAGTGCAAAGCAGCTGACTGTCATCCTCAGGGCCGCTGTCACCTGGGAGTGTGGGAGCAGTTTTTCCAGGAGGAGCAGAAACTGCATGTCCTTAGACCAATCTGCCAAGAAGCAGTGCTGATAGAGACTGAAGAGAATGTTTCCCTCCTGTAAGAGTCAGTTGGAGACAAGGACGCCATCTACCCCAGATGAAAGGACAATCTAGTGGGAGCAAACGGTGACACCCTTCTGCATCAGCTCTGAATGCTGCTGCTCACATGAGCTAAAGTGAGGGACTGAGGGCTGACACCACAGAACAGCCCACTTTGACCTGCCTCTAAGAAAAAAAATCTCCCTTCATCTTACACTTCATAGCTGACAGCAGTATGTGTAAGACAAAATAAAAAAAAATAGAAGATCCTAACAAAAGCGAAGTTCAGGTTAGTAATACCATTGCCCGATTTTCATACTGGGGGTATGTTCTCAAGCAAACCAGTCTGTAAGAGAAAATAGTCAACTTTCAACTGAAGGAAGGCAAAAGGAATCAGTACGTTAGCTCATGTTTCACAAAAAGCAGGTGTGCACACGGCCTCAGATGAAAAGCAATTCTCTCCTCATGTACTCTTTGAAGT